TTGAGTCCTTGCAGGTTCCCCCCAGTGCAGATGGTCGCAGTTCAGCTGGCACCACATAACTAGGCCACAGTTTTACTGGGGAGAGTTTTCCAGAGGGTAGGGAAACAGGCAGAAGTGTAGGCAGGGGTAGATAAAGGTAGGCTGGCTGGTGGGTGGAAAGGAAAGTAGGAAGCAGGAAAAGGGGGGAGCCTAGGAGCTTTCAGGAAAGGGAAAGAGGACATAGTTGGGGGGAAATTAGTCCTTGCAGGTCCCCTGTTATCTAATGTTGTAGATCATCTTGTATGGAAATCTGCATATTATGAGTTTTGAAGAAGTAAAACCTTATCTTGAAAAGCACCTCACTAATTTCAAAAGATAATATATGTCATAGGAATATGTTTCAGTGTTCTCAAAATTTCTACTTTTCCATTGGAAGACCTGAACAAAAAAAGTTCCCCCCTGGGCTTTCACATCTCTGCTTCACTCTTTCCCCTTTTTATTATGTTGGATTGGGTAATTTTTTTTTTTTTAAGGGTGGAGAACAGAAAATACGAACAGATGCCATAGTTATTCAATTAAAAACACTCAGGCTTTGTTAACTGTCTAGTTAAGGTATGCTTCCTGAGTATGTAGATTTTCTTTGTTTTGTGGTGGAAGGGGCAGAGCTTATTTTCAAAAGGATGCGAGTCTTCAAGCATTTGTGTGATTCCCGCTTATTCTCACCAACAAGCCGGGCCCTGCAACCAGTCATGTGGTTTTGCAGGCAGTGCATGGGGCAGAGGCTGGGAATGGACGAGGTTTGTGTGGTGTGGCGGTTATAGAGTGCTAGACTAGGATCTGGGAGATCTGGGTTTGAATCTCCACTCTGCCGTGGAAGCCAGCCTGGGCCAGTCAGACACTTTCAGCCTAACCTACCTCACCAGGTTGTTGTGAAGAAAAAGCTGAGGAGAGGAAAAACTGTGTAAGCTGCTTTGGGGCCCCACTGGGAAGAAAACGGGGGTTATAAATGAAGTAAGTAAATGAATTGTGATGGAAGGTGGAGGAGAATGCCAGTTGGTTGGTAGGAGTGAAAAACAGAAGTGTGGAAGAGAGTCTGCGTCTTTATAGGCAGTTATTTTGCCTTACCTTACCTGTCTGACAAGGCATGGGATTGTTTTTGCTGTTTTCTTGCAGACTGCTTTTCATAAAGACTTTGACCATCCCAGTAGGTCAGAGGGAAGGAATGATGTCTCCTTGCAAAGTGATGCCACCTGCAGAGTCTGCAGAGTGGAAAGGCATTCACTGCTCCAGGCACTTTTCTTGCCCAGTGGAATCACAGTGCACGCGTTCACCTGCTGCTTGCATCACTGTTCTGCTTTTGCTGTGGTATTTAGGGCGCCCTTTGGTAGCAAAGCTGCCTGTATCAGGGTCTCTCTGATGCATGCATCCAGAATACGGTGTGGTACCTTTGGAAAGAGATGTCACCTGTCTTAAACGTGAGTTATGCCTGAAGTATTAACCTCCATCTAGATTTCTAGGAGGGGGCACCTGATGATGGTTTATTGCACCTGCCCATGGCTGTTCAGTTTATGTCTACTACTGTCCTTCTGCCCAGTAAGGGTACTCAAGCAGCAAGCATGGGGTAGTGGTTAGAATGTCCGGCTAGCATCTGGGGAACCTGGGTGCAGAACCCCGCTCTGCCACGGCAGCTTGCTGGGTGACCTTCGGTCTCTCTCTGTCTCTCTCTGTCTCTCTCTGTCTCTCTCTGTCTCTGTCTCTCAGACAAACTAGCCTTGCAGGCTGGTTGTGAGATTAAAAAGGAGAATGAAGAAAATAATGGTGAAAGCAGCTTTGGGTACCTTTTGGGTAGAAAAGTTGGGAATATATAATCAAATAGCATTTCCTCAACGCTGAAACCTTGTATCTGGAACAAATGGAGAAAACCCATGTGTTCCTTTGCTGTGCTGTCAGTGGCGGTCCTCTCTTGCACTGCCTGGTCTTGGGCTTCCTTCTCACCATGCTGTGGCATTGCCATGCTGAAGGCATGGCTTGTTAGTGAAAGTGAGCCGGGCCCCATTAGTGAGATGGCAGAAATGGTGCTTGGCTTCATTGTTACAGGACTTCCAGCTGTCTGCTTGCTCCTGCGATTGCAGGAGACAACTGGCACACTTGTACTTGGGATTCATAGCATGGTTAGGGTGTGCGGGGGGGGGGGATCCATCCTGCTGTGTAATTATGGACAGGAATGTACAAGAATATTAAGTGGTGCTTTTGGATCACTGTTCAGCCTCGCTGTTGCAGAATTAACCGGGCCTGCATGCTTGTGGGCAATTGGCCGGCTTGTATATATCTCTTAAGACGAGAAAGTTGCAGTTTTGGGTGTGCTCTTCTCTTAGGTTTGCACTATGCAAACCTTGTCTTTTTAATTAAACATATCTTCCTTTTCTATAGATCTTTTTCTTCTCCGCCCTCTCAAGTCTAAATTGATAGACTACTAGACCAACATTACATTTCATGGACTCTGCACAATATTCTGATTGTGATCAAATGCATCTCTTCACAACTGCAAGCAGGAAATTGTCCTGGCTCATCAAAGGATAGGACAAAGCGCCTGTATTCCTAGTACCTGTGGAAGAGGGAGGCTCTCTATATGCTTTGCACCTTTCCCCTTGCTGTTAAACAGGTGTTGTGTTTTTCAGGTGAACTTTCTGCAGACCAGATCTGCAATGTGTGGATTATGCTTTTTGTTATTTTTGAATGAAAGCAGTAATTCCCCCCCCTCCACACTTTTAATAGTATTTAATACTTGGTGTTTGATACAACTCAAGGGTAGGTTTACCACTTGGCTGAGAATTAGGCTACAGAGTTGGCAGTCTGTCGCATAATCTTATGTATGGCATGATATGGCCTAGAGGCTGCCACATCAATGAAATCCCCAGCTATTTGCTTGTCTACCTAACTACCCTTCAAGAGCATTAGGAGAGAAGCCCAGAAGTAGTTCCTAAATTTGTCATTTCTGTGAAACTGAGGTTTCCTTCAGGCTAAGAGATGGATTCCATTTCTCTCTTCCAAGTGGAGATCCAGTTTACACAGCAGAAATAATCAATAGTCAACTCCAGTGGAAATGTACCCTGAAGCTCTGTAAACATCCATTAACAGGCCTTTATGGCAATATCGTTTTCTTTCTTTCCTTCCATGAATTCTGTTCAGTGCATCAGTATTAAGATGGGCTTCTGGGAATGATAAAGCATTGTCCAGTACAGCAGTACTTAATATTAATCCTCTGAAGAAAGGTGAGAAGCGTGGATTAAAAAAGACTCTCAAAAATTAACATGCAGCATTGCATGTTAATTTGAAATTCTTGGTCATTTGCTTATGGATGACGGAGGTTTCTGTTTTCTTTGGTGACATAACTTTTGGTAGTGTCTGCGTGGCAGGGATCAATCTAAATGTTTCTTGTGAATGGTGTATCTGTGTACCCTGCTGCCATGTTACTGTACATCTGGCAAAGGATGAAGGCTAGAGGTCGGCTAGTGTGGGGTACCGGAAGAGTCTATTCACCAAAAGGGATTCTGGATCTCTGCACCAAGGAGGATAGACAGAAGCTTCCATATGGTAGGAAGACATGCTTTGGTTTAGGGGCATGATTTTGAAACACTTGTTCCATTTTATGGCTGTGTGAGTTCCGTGAACCTTGGGGTTTCCCAAAAAGCCTATCAGAGGTCCCTTACGAAGAAGACTAGTCATGTCAGACAAGCATTTGTAACAGGTAGCATGTCCACCACACGCAATCTTCCCTTCTTATATACAGCTCCAAGAGAGTGTTGGACGTGGTCTTCTTGGGTGCATTCGGTTCAGGTGGGAACAGTGTTGAGGCTTGTCAGGCCTGGTCGGAAATGGAACAGTTGGAAAGCGTGAAATAGCTAGTGGCCAAATCCAGTTTTCCAGGCCATGTTTTGTGGAGTGCTGATTCGGTTATGATATAAAATACAGTTCTCATGTGGGCAGATCTGGAACCTGGCCATCTCTTAAAACAGCTTTGCTTCACCAGACTGAACTACTTGGTGGTGCTCTCCTTGAGTCCTGTTCAAGTCATTTTTCCTGATACTATGTGACTGGTAAATTAAAAATTGTGTAGATCATAGTGGCCCTAATTTGAGTGAGTCGAAGTCACTGAGGTGAGCTCTGCAGATGAGAAGGGATCTCTAGTGGGAAATGCTGCATGGTCCGTTCCTTCAGATCATCTAGTTTGTCAAAGTGCCTGCAGTTAACTGGAGTTTAATCATTTCACAAAAAGGTTGGTTTAGAGATTAAGTTCACAAAATAAAGCTGTTCAGACTCGTTTTCTCTTGCCTCTCCCCTCTGCTGTAGCAACTTGTTGGGAGCTGAACTGTTTTCTTAAGCCGTGTTAAGTTCAAACTGGGTGCAACTGGCATGCTTGCCAGTTGGGCTTGTGTTGGGTTCTGCTCAACCCCAGCCTTGCAAAGGAACTTGTGAATGGGACTAACCCACCTGCCCACACTTCTCCCTACACTGTAAGTGGTGGTGGTGGAAAGGGCTATCAAGTCACAGCTGACTTACGGCAATCCCTTAGGGGGTTTTCAAGGCAAGAGACATTCAGAGGTGGTTTGCCATTTCCTGCCTCTGCATCACAACCCTGGTATTCATTGGAGATCTCCCATCTACATACTAGCCAGGGCTGACTCTTCTTAGTTTCTGAGTTCCAATGAGAATTAAGGGTATGATTGCTGTCAGAAGACAGGTTTTATGCATAAACTGGATGGGAACCTTGGTGACTGCTCTGAACATACTCTGACTGCTGGCAGAAGGTGGCCTAGATCCTCCTTACCTCTGTCAAAATCTGCCTGCCCTCAGAAACGGCTGCAAAGATTCATTGTATGAACAGAACATGAAGCATTTGTTCCAGTTCTGAGAGCCAGTTATTAATGTAGAGCTAGCTGTGTCTTGCCAAGCCCTGATCGAATGCTGCCTTCCCCTTCCTGAGAGTTTGACTCAGTTTTTGTTTTTTGTTTTATTTGCAGGTGCGTAAGTGGCAACGGAGGCATATCAGTGTGGCGGAGATGATGTGGAGAGACACTTTGTGAGTAACTGGAGATTTGTGTGTGACACAAAACAGTCCCGAAGTAAGAACAGAAATGAAGTGGAACTACTTCTGTGTACTTGATGCATGGTGTGAAAGCTGGCGGCATGATAAGCTTTGATTTGGTTGAGGAGAGCAGTGGATCTGAAGGGTGGCTGACGCAATGCCTTTCAAGATTGAGGTGCAGGAGAATGTTAGATGGCAACACTAAAATGCTTCAGCCTTACTTAAGAGGACTGCTTCACTTCCGATACATTCAGGTCCACGGCAGAAACTTTGTGGTGGAGGATGCCATCAAAGGCCCTCTCACAACCATCAATCTAATTTATTGTGGCAGGAGCCAGTAAAACAGTACAACCTTCCCCTTATTATAATTGAATAGCAACGTTCTATATTGAACGTTCTAAATTTGGCCCCTTTAGTGTTAGGCCGGAAGAACTGCCATTCAGAAGACACTGGCTGGGTAGACTGGCTGCTTTGTGCAGTCCCGCCCAGCGTTCCAAGGTCATTTGCATATGGAAGCTGATTGGACTTCACTCCATTCCACACCTCAAACTCCCCCCCCCGCAAGGCAGTTGGAATTTTCAGTTGCATAACATACCTCATAGGGGAGAGGAGAATGATGTCAGCTGCTTTGGTTATCACTGCAGGGAAAGGCAGCCCTTTCCCTAGGCAGAGGCTGTGGGGGGGGAGGGGTTTGTAAAACTTAAGACAGACAGGCAGATAAAGGTTGGCTGATGGTAGCCAGGAAAGGACATAGGGTTGCCAACTCCAGGTTGGAAACTTCCAGGATATTTTAGGGATGAAGCCTGCTGAGGGTGGGGTCTGAGGAGGAGGAGGAAGAGGGGGACCTCAGACAGATACAATGCCATACTGCCCACACTCCAGACAAGCTGTTGCCAGTCTCCAGGTGACAGCTGGAGAGATCTTAAAGCTTTGGTGCTAATTCAAACTGTTGCAATTTATCGACAGAGTAGTGTTTCGGAAAATCTTTAGGAATTGTTTGGTGCATTTACGATGGGGATCCTGGGGAACTATTGTTGCCAATCTTGGCCCAACAGCTATCAAACCATTCTCTTCACCCCCCTGCTGTGCAGCTGACTTTCCCATAGGGTTGCCAATCTCCAGGTGGGACCTGGAGATCTCCCACTGTTACAATTGATCTCCAGATGACAGAGATCAGTTCCCCTGGAGAAAATGGATGCTTTGGAGGGTAGAACCTATGACATTATACCTGCTGAGTCCTTCCACCCCCCGCCCAATGCTGTCCTCTACAGAATCCACCCCCCAAACCTCCAGGTATTTCCCTCCTTAGAGCTAGTAACCCTACTTTCCCCTCAGTGCCTGTTGGTAGGCAACTAAGCTTGGTCCTGTCACCTACTTTGGCCTTTGGGAGAAAACACATTGGGGCCAATCCTGATAGGGTTGCCAACTCCAGATGGGAAATTCCTGGAGACTTGAGGGATGGAGCCTGAAGAGGGTGAGGTTTGAGGAGGGGTGGGACCTCAGACAGGTACACTGCCATAGACTCCACCCTCCAAACCAGTCAGTCCCACATAGGGAACCATTGTTGCCAATCTCCAGGTGAGGGCTGGAGAGCACTCAGAATTACAACTGCTCTGCAGAAGGGAGGGCAGAAGTCAGCTGAAGTCAAAGGGGCAGATAATGGTAGGTTGATGGTTAGCTGGGAAGGAGATGGGGTTGCCAACTACATGCTGACAAATTCCTGGGGATTTGAGGGGTGGAGCCTGGAGAGGGTGGGGTTTGCAGAGGGGTGGGACCTCAGACAGGTAGAATGCCATAGACTCCACCCTCCAAACCAGCCATTTTGTCCTGGGTAACAATTGTTGCCAATCTCCAGGTGAGGGCTACAGATTACTCACAATTACAACTGCTCTTCAGTTACGTTTCCTAATAGCTAGGCAACAAAATTTTGCCACAGTGTAAGTCACTGAGCTCTGAACGTCTTCTAAAAGGAATTTACAAAGGACTTCTGGCCTAAAGTCAAGATAAGACTGCAAAGGGCTAAATCTAGACAGAAGGGGTAGTATAAGATGGTCTCGTTCCTCCTGATAGAATCTGCAGAACAGGAGGACATGAGTAATTGATTCCACCATATTAGCCATGCATGGGCATATACATTCATGCATTGGGACTCGAGTGAATTTATCTTGCAGTACAGCAGAAGGGAATGCCTCAAAATGGGCTCTGGAAAAGGCCCATCTATAGGGTTCATAGGTAATGTTAACTAAATAAGGGGCAACAGTAAAATTTGGCCAAGATTTTATGTTTCTGTAGTTCTCGGGTAGCAAAGCTTCTTCATTTTGTGATTCAGTATCACGAAGCCTCTGCACGACAGCTGTTACTTGCCTTGTATAGGCTTCCATAGAAGAGATCTTCTGGGAATAGGCCAATCTGATTTAATTAAAGAACTTGTGTGGACCAGGCAGGGTAAGGATCTGAGGCTAAAAAGTAAGGTATTACACCTTTTGGGTTGTAATGAATTTTTAGCCAGAGCATTCTAGCCTGCTCCCAGACCTTTGTTTCGACAAGGGCCCTCTACATTTGCATGCATCACCTTGGATGAGTAAAGAGAGCAGCTCACTTAGCGAAAATGGAAGCTTCAGCAATACGTAACGAGTGGGAGCCCCTGGCTTACTTTTTTTTATTGGTTTTTGTGAAAAATATGCCCTCTATAGAGTGTGATTTGATTTAGTGTGTTTATTTTGATTTGCATTTAGTAAACAAAAATGTAAAAGTAACCTCATGTTAATTTTGTTTCTCAGTAGCAGCAAATACTTGAACAGAAATACATGATTAGGGACTAAAGCAAGTCAAGTGTGGCTTAAAGGTCAAAGTTTCATGTGACAGTTATTTTTATTGGGAAAGTCTTGTGAAAATTTGAAGACCATATTAGCCTGCATTTCCTTTACATTGTTCAAATTTAAGGAAAAACAACAACAAATGCACTGAAAACTGGTGAGACACTATTGGCACAGTCCTCTGCAGAGTTATTCTAATCAAAGCCCCGTACTGCAGTTTTCATGCACCCAAAGAACTATGCATGATATTGTCATGGGCATGGATGTTTACCTATTTCTGCAGAACGTAGTGCTCTTCCAATAAGGCCGCTGAGGCACCTCGGTTTCACTGTCACCTCTCCTAGCATTACCTGTTCATTCCATATCAGATGGTCAGTTACGGTATCCTTTCCCCAAATGAGAGGAGACATATGTATAAGAGCTTTAGATTTAGTTCTGATTTGACTTGGGCACCAAATCAGGTGAATTTATAACATAAATAAATGGCTTCTTATATGTTTGTGTGTGTAGTTATCGGCGAATGCATTCAGTCACTATTAATCTTATGAAACAATGACTCTTTAGAAATAGAACATATTTCACAGAAAAATAAGAACATAAGCAAGAGCCCTGCTGGATTGCACCTGTGGTCAATGTCAGGGGTCTCCAAAGTGGTGCCTGTGGTGCCATGGTGCCCAATGACACCTTTCCTGGTGCCCGCCAATTGCTTTTAGAAAGTAAGTGGCACTAGGTATGGCTATTCCCAGAGCTTCTGCCTGAAATATTGGAAGAGTTACTCTTAGACTTGTATATAAGTGGTTGGCTCTCTCTCCTGTGGGGGCCATTTTTGTGATTGTGCTCACCGCCCTTTGTCAGAATTCCAAAACTGTCCACTGGCTTGAAAAGGTTGCAGACCCCGGGTCTATGTAGTCCAGCATATGGCTTTACGCAGTGGCCAACTAATTGCCCTGGAGGCTCAACTGGTCCTAGAAACCTTCAGTGTAAAGAGGTTTGCTTTAGTTGCCACAGCTAGTAGCCATTGATGGACCAATGTGCCATGAATCTAATTCCTTCTTAAAGCTATCTGTGCTTGTGGTGATCACTACCTCCACTCGCAGTAAAGAAGGATTTCCTTTGTCATGTACCTATTCCCTACCAACTTCAGAGGGTCTCCCTGAGTTCTAGTAAAGGAAAAGGAGGAAAAGCTACCTATGGCCCCGGTCACACAGGCCGGATATTGTGGGGGGGGAGGCATGGCTAATTGCCCCAGTGCAGTTTGGTGTGCGATTACGCGATCAGACGCGCCGGCGGCACACCACGGGTCCTTCCCTCGGTGCTGGCGGGTAAACGAGGGACCGGAGGGGAATGTTGTGCGCTGGTGCGATCACACCACGGGCGTCTGGAGGCAGCCTGTGGCAAACGTTTACTAGTACCTTGGAGGTACTAGTTTTTTAAGGCGCATTGTCGGCGGTAAGCCACCGGTGCGCTCCACTTCCCAGATGTTGGGGTGTGATCGCGCCTGGATAATCCGCCCACCATCCGTGCCTCTCCCGCGGCAACTTTGCCGTGTGACTCGGGCCTATGTACCTATGTATGATTTTATAAGCCTCTATCATATCCCCCTTTAGTCATCTCTTTTTAAAATTCAAAAGTTCGTCATAGAAAAAGTACTCCAACATTTTAGTAAAGCGCTGAGAATTTTTCCTTTTCTATACTACGTTGGTCTTGCAGAGCAAGCCTACACATGTTTATTCAGAAGTCACTCTGTATTCAGTGGCTCTACATTCTAGTAACAGTATAATCCTAAACAGTTATGCCCATCTAAATCTGTTGAAGTCAGTGGGCTTAGAAGGGTGTAACTCTGCCTAGGAATTATGCTCCAATTGTCTAACTGACAACTCATTGTTCTATTGTTTTTCATTTATTATCACTTGGATCAGTTTTCATAGTCTCTCCACTATCTAGTGCTTATTGATGCAGATCAAATACTTGGTTTGGCTTTTCCATCATGCATGTTAAGGTCTGTGGGTGAGGTGCAGAGGTGCACTTTAAAGCCCAGATCCTTTAGGGTTCGGATGCCTGTGTACTTAGACAATGAAGTAATCCGGTTTTAGCTCTGTGCTGGAGGAGTGTGTCATGCCAGACTGAATGCAAAATTCTGTGTAACCGCTGGGTTTCTAGAGAACAATTTTGAGCTTGGGGGGTTTGAGGTGCAGGAGGGAAAGTGTCCTCTTCCCTTTCTTTATACTTGTTAAGAGCTTCCAAGTGTTTGTTTTTCCTTGAAGTGTAAAGGTCCTTTACACTTGACACTTCTGGAGTTCCCGTGAAATGTAGATTTTTGATTAGCGCATGCAACAAATCTTTTTTTAAAAAAATTGTAAGGACTCAGCAGCAGAATTGAAAGGGAGGGACCTACCAGGAGGGTTCTGATGTCCTGCTTCTGCTTTCTGTCCTGGTTATGGTACTTGGCATCTCTTTGCTTTTAATGAGGGGGCCATAAAGACCTTCAGCAAATTTCAGTTGTGTTTTTGCTCTGTAACTTTCTAAAGTTACTTGTGTAACTGTTGTTCTGCATAATTTAGAATATTTTCTCCTAAAAGACAACAAAAGTTTTGTGTGTCATTTTCGGTCAAATTTTATGTCAGGCGGTTTTGCTCAAATGTTTTGTGTAAGTCGAATGGAAACATTTTGGCAAAAATCTATGTCTTTAAGTAGCATAAGCCCCTGTGTAGCAAATGGCTTTGTCTATGCATACTTTTATAAAAACACTTTTTGCGAAATAGGAAAATATATAAAAAGAACTCTATAAAGCAAATTTGGCATAAGAATGCAAGAGTCCTGTTGGATCAGAACAGTGGTCCATCTAGTCCAGCATCTTGTCTCACATCATGGCCACCCAGTTCCTCTGGAGGGCCAGCAACAGGGCATAGAGACTGAGGCCTTCCCCTGACGTTGCATCCTGTTGCATGCATGTTTGGAAAGCATGAACTCCATCATAAACAGTCTCAACATAGAATGCAATCATCTTTGTGTTTCATTAGAATCTTTCTCTCTTGTCAAAGCTAATTTATAAGTCTGAGTTGGTCCCATATGGCTTGTGGTAAGACTGAGTGGGCAGGTTTGGCACAGGCAGCTTCTGAACTAGGAGCACTTCTAACCTCTGAGCACCTCTAATCTTGCAGGAAAGATGTGGCCGCCTGAGGTGGTGGTGAGAGAACTTATTTTGAAGTGTGCATATTAACGTCTCACCAGTATTTACAGACAGAATTAAGACAGCATCAGATGTCATAAAAGAATATGATTTTTGTTAAGGGAGTGGGTAGAGGAGTTGTGCAGGCCCTGGTATAGGCTTCCATTATATGTGTGCTCCTTTTCCAGCTCCTGTACTTGGAGCAGTTTAATCTGTTGTGTTGCGTATCATTTAGACGGTGCCTCACTCCCCTCCCCAACATGGAGATTATTGTGTTCTCCTTCGCATATATGAATCAAACGTTAAATCTTGGGTGAGTTCCCCGTGATTGAAGAAGGAGAAACAAAAGCTTTCCCCTTGCTAAGATCTGTGTTCTTTGATATGCCTCTTGTTGGAATCTGAACACTGCTAGCCAGAAGTGTGTCTTTACAGTATTGTCTGAAGACCCTTTAGACTGTTGATAGCTTTTTATGACTGGCTTCTTTTGTAAGCTGCTTTGCTGCAGGGGGTGGGGAATGTGGGGGGAAATATGGTCTCTTTTATTTCAGTTTTGAGCTTCAGCTCTATTTGCATGAGAGATGCTTACTCACAGAAATATGGAAAACGGCTTCAAAAAGCCCAAGCTTACTCAGTCCTGCCCGGGACAGAATCTAGCTTCAGAGCTTCCACACCCCCACTTGTAGCAAGCCAGTGAACAGGTATGCTATTTGTGGCATGTAGGGAGAAGTAAGGAACACATGCACCTTTTAGCAGGAGGGTGGAAGAGCCCTGTACACAAAGCTCTTTTTATTAAAGAAGCCAGCGATATCTCTGAGGTCGCCAGAGGTCTGCTTTGGCAGTAGAAAGGAAACCTGATAAAAGCTCCTTAAGCTGCTTTATCGGGTGGATTTTAGGAGAAGGAAAGTGCAGCCCAGGGAGCCGTCTCCCTTGTGGTGGATGACATTCTCTGATCCCAAGTTTTGACTCTTTGCCTGACATCCTTATTCTGCTAAGTCCCCCTTTCATTCTTATTTTTTAAAGGGGGCAGGATTTTTGTTCCTGGAATGATCTTAGCATGCCAGGCCCTTTCAAGACAGAGAGAGTGTTTGCCGACCTTTGCATGCAGACCCTGCTTGAGAGGAAAAGGCTATTTGAATTGCACATTTAACAACAAACAAAAAAAGGAGTGGTCTGGCAGCACTGTGCGGAACTTGACCCTGCGGTGCTCCAGTGAAGAACGAGCTCATTGTCCCATAGTCCCTTGTCTAGAAACAAAAGCTTCATTTTCCCAACTAAACAATGGATGGAGTTCCTATGTAGCTGGCAGTGTGATTTCATTTATAATCGGCCACCCCCATGAACCTCACTCACATGATATGCTAGGATGACATGGTATGTTAGGGTACCACGCTTCCTTTCTGAGAATCAGAACATTAAAGTCTTATGTCCTTTGATCAACAGGGGAGTTACTAACATTGACGGCATGGATCATTCTGTGCTCAGAAGGGAGGTGTCAGCTGTGCTTCATGACAGGTATGTGTGTGTGTGGGGGGGCGGTTTGCAGCAAAATGGTTGCACTTAAAAAGTTAACGCCATTGTCTGATTGCCAATGCTTGCTTGCTTCCAGTCTTCCTTGGGGGGGAAATACATTCAAAGAGTTTTAATAACATTCTTGTTTACAAGCATGCAAGCTATGGCTTGAGACACTCACCAGCCTGTTAGGACACTTGACCTTGCTCCAAAAGTTATGAGATCAAGTGGGATGTGGTCTAGCAGGCCTCCACACATTTTAAAATGGGGACTTGGTTTGGGCAAGTCCGAGGCGGCTGGGCATTGATTTCTGGGCGGGGTTGTCCTGTGGAAATTAGCGTTCCTAAAGTACACCTTTTCATTAGGCTGTAAATGGCTTTGGATGATCTCCTGTTTGTGTCTGTCCGCCTCTGGTGGATGGAGATGCTCAGCACAGAGGTGCACAAGTTTTTGGGATCTGGGCCAAGCACTGCAAACATAGTCTGACTGACTTGTTGGCATTTTCAGCATGTGGCTTGTTGTGATGTTCTTTTCAAATCAGATGTATTACGTGCTATGTTTGTTAAAGACGGTTTGGTCTTAAAACAGGATGTGAAACTTGTTGAGCTGAACAGAGAAAGGGTTTGGAGTCAGAATGGAAGCTGTGGTCATAATTTATGGGTCAGGCGGTCCCAAAGGTTACATTCCCATCATTTGAGTCTCTTGTTGCTACATCCAAGTGTTAGCAAAGTATTTAATATCAGTCCTTTCGGCAGAGTCTTTGGGAATGATGCCACATCTCTCCCCACCCCCATTGCATTTTGAAATTGTCTATGAAGGTTGGAGTTTTTATTTGTCAGTCATTCCAAGGCAGAATGTCCCTTTAGTTATACCCATCTGCTTTTCAAATAAAATGGTTAACACCTTTCACATAGCCTCATATATTTCAGTTGTGGCCTTTGCTGATGCACATCTCTCTTTGCTTTCTTCTCGCTCATTGGTCAGCCTCTTTTGGATTCTTGTGGTTTTGAATTTTGACTTCAGGTCCTCTCATCAAAAAGCTGCTTCTGGCTAGAGAATTCATTGTACTACAGAATTTCATTGCCCTTGCAGCCCAGTGGCTCTGTGATACAGGTGTGTGTATCTCTGGCCTTTTTTTCTTTCTTATCCAGGGTAAAAATTGCCTTGACCTAAAATAAGGACTAGCTGCAGGATTCCTGCTCGTTTCCATCTATTGCTCACTTGTATGCATTGCTCTGTAAAAATGCAGTTCACACAATATTTGCATGAATACGTGCTAGATCGCAGTTGGCAGGCGTGTGACATGGTTTCGTTGCTGCAGGTGCCTTTTCAATACCAGCCAAGGGTGTGGCTTACAGCATTTTCATTAAGTTTGAGAAGGTCAGTAGTTAACAGACTTCTACATGTAAGAGGCATTTAAAAAAATGTTTTTACATGTCTGTTTTGTGAAGGATTGTATATTTGCTTGTCCAAAGCGTTCTAGCATCAAATATCTTGTTTGTCAGCATTTTTGTTTGCATTGTAAATCAACTACTAGCTCATCTGTGGTGGTGACTTACGAAATGACATGGCAAGATCTGTGAAAGTTAACGGATATTTAAAGTATGAGAAAGTTCCTTCAGGTTCTGCCTGATGCTTTGCTTGGCAGTTTTAATCTGGGGTTGTGGGTTTTTTTTTTCCATTGTTGGTTTTTGTGTGTTGGTGTATAGTGCTGGGGGGAAATATATGTAAGCTAGTCTATGTAGTTTGCTGGCTAGCAAAAAGGCGTGTAACCTTAGGCAAACTAAATCTGTAGTTGCATTATAGCCTGTGTAACGTAGTGTTTGTCTACTTCCAACATTTTAATTAAAAAACACTCTCATGCAGGGGCTTTTCAAATGTGCCCTTTATGATGATCTGGCTCTTCACCCAAGTATCTGTGTAAGAATTTTGCCATTGCTTTGTGAATGTTGGGTTTGCACTCTGAATGCTAAGGGATAACGCTTAAATTGCCCTGACAGGTAGTCTACTCAAAAGAGAGAGCTAGTTTCCAAGCTGAAGAAATGGGCAGTAAAGCATGGTGGGCAATAAAGATGACAGAGGAAAGAGAACAGGGCCTGGGCAGTTAGGCTATGATGCCCAAATGGTGTTAAGCTTTTCCCACCTTGGCTTATACTGATAAGGGGGTCAGTGGGTAGATGAAGAGAGCCCTATTCTCATGAGAGGCATGGGGGTGGTGAACCATTGTTGAAGGCGCAGACATGCACCCAGGGAATGCCCCATTAGTATGGGAAAGACAGATACCAGTCCTATACCTGGAACGTGAGAGCAGCACAGACTTATAATGGGCTATGACAATGCTTCATGAATAATTGGACAGTATTATCTTTGATACATCACTCATTTAGTCCTGGACTGTTTTATGGCTTTTCTGTGGATGGCAGCAGGCGGGAGGGTGTGCTTCTTAGTTATCCATCCACTACTTCAAAAACTATTGCTACAGAAAAATTATATAGCCCATTATCACCCATCTGTTGCCCTTTCTGGGCAGGGTGATCAAGAGTTTCAGGTCTTCCTGGCTGGGCTATGGGACGGAGAGGACACTCATGGGTTTTGGTGTTCATCTCCATCTAAATGTCTACAAAGGTCATGCCTGCTTGTGCTTGTTGCTTCTATTGGTTCTGTCAGCAGCTTTTGATGCGGAGGTCCATACCATCTTGCTGAGACATTTGGAAGTAGAAGTCGAGATTAAGGGATTTGCTTTGGATTGGTTTAAAATCACTTCTTATGGGCTGGACTCAGAAGGTTACTGTGAGGACAAAGTTGCTGTCAGTGTGGGGCCTGCCTTGTGGGGTTCCTCAAAGCTCAGTCCCATCCCCCATACTACTCAATCTCTATGTAAAGCACTCAGGAGAAATCATTTGTGATTCTGGACTAGGTTTTCATCAATATGCTGATGACACCCAGCTCTGTATTTCTTTATCCACATTATTTGGTGATACTGTAAAGCAGGGGTCCCGAATAGTGTTCCCTTTAAGCTGAGTTAGTGTGAGCTAGCTCACAGTTTTTTAGCCTCTGGCTCACACATTTTTGTCTTAGCTCCGGAAGGGTGGTTCCAGAGCAAACCAATTTATGCAGAAGCCAAATCGATCGCTCACAGCTTTTATGCCAGTAGCTCACAAAGTAGAATTTTTGCTCACAAGACTCCACAGCTTAGAGGGAACATTGGCCGAACATGATGCACCTTTCTTGGCACCCACCAAGTATCTTTAGAAAGTGGGCAGGGCCAGATGGGTTATTCTGTTTGGCCCAGCAGGTCTTCTGTTTGGCCACTGGAGATCTGATTGGCTGTGCAGATTTTTTTAAAATGTTGCTTTGGCAGTAGCTGCTCTCATAGCACAGGGATCTTCCCTGGGTGACTGAAGGTAAGCCATGGAAGCCATTTTGTGGCTGGCTTTGCCTTCAGCAACATCCATTTTGTGGTTGTTCCCAACACACTGTGTCAGAATTCCAGAGTTGCCACCAGCTCAAAAAAGATTGGGGACCCTTGCTGTAGAGGTTCTGGACTGGTGTCTGGCCGCTATGGTTGAATGGCTATGGGTGAACAAGTTGAAACCAGATGGTGACAAGATGTGATAATGTGACTGGGAAGGCAGAAGTCCTGAAAGACATCGTGCTTGCCATGGTTGATAGGGCCCAGTTGACATTTGCTGACTCGACTAAGAGCCTGGAGGGTAATCCTGGGTACAGCTTTATTGCTGGAGAAGCAAGCTCATGCAGCTGCAAAAAAAGCATTCTTTCCATTTCACCCAGCTCAAAAGATGGCGCTCTATCTTGGTTCGGCTGATCTGGCCACATGGACCCCATGCTATGATTGCCTTGAGGCTAGACTGTTGTAATGCACTCTATTTTATTTATTTATTTATTAGGCTTATATCCCACCCTTCCACATGGGTTCAGGGCAGCTAACAAGAGGCAATTGCCATACATAACACTAAAACCAAATAAAACAATCAGATTACATTATACATTTAAAATCGGTGCTCACAACAATATATCATCCAAGACGGGGACTTCAATACAATATTTCAGAGGTTCTACTGTCTCTTCTTGATTGGTCTGCACTCTGTCTGTTCTTCATTCCCAAGGCCAGTTCGCATCGCCAGAGATGGCAACGTGATGGTGGTACAGTGACGGTGGCGGCTCCTACTCGAAAGCCTGGCGGAAGAGCTCAGTCTTGCAGGCCCTGCGGAACTGCATAAGGTCCCGCAGGGCCCTGATCTCCTCCGGGAGCTCGTTCCACCAGATAGGAGCCGCCACTGAAAAAGCCCTGGCCCTAGTTGCAGCATATTTAACATCCCTCGGGGCTGGAACGACCAGAAGATGTTTTGCCCCCGACCGTGGGTCTGCCCTTAAAAGGCTAACTTGGAATCCCGCAACCCAATTATTTGTGGGAGCTAGGCAGAGTATGCATGTTACTCCATTGGTTACCTGTCAGTTACTGGGTTCAGGGAACTGGTTATCACATACAAAGCCTTTTGTGGCCTTGGACCCTCATATCTACAGGCCTCCCCTTCTATGCTCTGCCATGATAGCTTTACTCATCTGAGTGAGTGGGTGAGATCACTAGCAGCCCGCTGACATTCTTTTTCTGTTGTGGCCACAACCTGACAGAATGGCCTGCCTGAGGAGGTAAGGAAGGCCCCCACACTTCTGGCATTATGCAAACTATGTAAAACAAAACTGTTCGGAATGGCATTTTTACAAAGGCAGTAGTATAATGGAATGTTCCATGGAGCCACTTATAAAGAGAACGGGATTGTAGTTTATGCCATTGTGTATGCCGTATGTTAACTGTATGTTGTATGAGTTACCCTACATTGCTTTCTACTTTTGTAATTCCGTTTTCCACATAGAATGTCCGATGCTTCTATTTTTTTGCAATCCTGGCCCTATTGCATTGCTTATTAGATCTTATGCTATTTGATTTTATTGCTTTACATCATATAATTTGATTCTGAGTG